TTGCAAACCGAAAAACTGAAGAAACGAAAAATGGAACAAAATTGAAATTAAAAAAAATAATAAAAAACCCAAACAAAAAAAAGCAAATTGAAAAATCATAAAATTGAAAATGTAAAATATTTTAAAAAATATTGCATATTTAAAATGAAAACTATAAAAACTGTAAATCAAAAATTGAAGACTGAAAAACTGCCAAATCCAAAAATTGAAACATTTCACATTGAAAAAAGAAAAATGATAAAATCGGAAAAACATTGGAAAACCGAAAAATTGAAGATATAAAGAAAATAAAAAATCGAAACGGAAAATTGGAGGCATGAAAACTGAGAAATTGAAAAACTGAAGAATTAAAAATTGAAAACTCTTGAAATTGAAATATCCAAATTTGGAAAATCGAAAAACTGAAAATTTTTAAAAATGAAAATTTGAGAAGTGGAAAATTGAAAAATTCCAAATGGAAAAATTGAAGAAACGAAAAATGGAACAAATTGAAATCGAAAAAAAATTTAAATCGGAACATTAAAAAATCGAAAAATTGTAAAAATAAAGCAAGTAAAAATCTCAAACCAAAAAATGCAAGTCGAAAATTTGATGGATTGGAAATGAAAGGATCTAAAAATTAAAATGTCGAATAATTGAAAAATTTTAAAAGGCAATACACTTGAAAAATGGAAAAACTAAAAATCATAAAATAGAAAATGTGAAATATTTAAAAAATATATTATTACATATTTAAAAATAAATCTATAAAAATTGGAAAATCTTGAAATTGGAAAATCAAAAAATGGAAGACCAAAAAATTACAAAATCCAAAAACTGAAAAATTTCACACTAACAAAAACAGAACATTGAAAAACCAAAAAAAAAATTGTAAAAATAAAGAAAGTAAAAAACCGAAAAAGATGTGAAAGAAAAATTTTAAAATGAAATCTCTAATGATCAAAAATTTTTTAAATGGAAGAATTGTAAAAATAAAGAAAATAAAAAGCTTGACGAAAAATCGCTAACCGAAAATTCTAAGAAGTGAAAAACTGAATACATAATTGAAAAATTGAAAAATTAAAAATGAAAAAATTGAAAGTCGAATAAATGAAAGTTTTAAATAATATAATTGAAAAAACAAAAAATGGAAACCTAGAAAAATCGTAAATAAAGAAAATAAAAACCAAAACAAATAAAAAGCAAATAACAAATTTGAAGAATTGAAAACTGAAGAATCGAAAAACTGAAACGTCAAATAAATGAAAAAGTTTTAACAGCCAATACAATTGAAAAATGGAAACACTCTAAAATAATAGAACTGAAAATGTGAAATATTTAAAAAAATATTATTGCAAATTTAAAAACAAAAACTATAAAAATTACAAGTCGAAAATTAAAAAATCATGAAACCGGAAAATTGAAGAACAAAAAATTACAAATTCAAAGAAATGAAAAAAATAAAGAAAATAAAAAATCAAAAAACTGAAGAGCAACAAATTACAAAATCCATTGAAAAACCGAAAAACTGTAAAAATAAAGAAAATAAAAGACTGAAACCAAAAATTGCAAATTCGACAACTGAAAACACAAAAAAATGGAAACCTTAAAAAATCGAAACAGTAAAAATAAAGAAAATAAAAATCGAAGCGAAGAAAGCAAATTGAAAATAGAAGAACCGAAAAACTTGAAAAGACGAATAAATGAAGAGATTTGAAAAACCATTAACTGAAAAACGGAAAAGAACTGAAAAAAATTAAAATATGGAACCATTGAAAAATCGTAAAAATAAAGAAAAAAAAAACCGAAACGAAGAAGTAAATTGAAAATTTGAAACATTGAAAATTGAAGAATCGAAAAATTAAAAAATGGAAACATTCTAAAATAATAGAACTGAAAATGTGAAGTATTTAGAAAAATATTTTTATCGCATATTTAAAATAAAAACTATAAAAATTGAAAATCAAAAACTGAAAAATCCAAAAATTGAAGACCAAAAAATTACAAAATCCTAAAACAGAAATTATACATTGAAAAATAAAAACATAACACTGCAGGAAAAAAAAATTGAATAAACGCAAATCGAAAAAAATTTAAAATTGAAAAAACAAAAAATTAAAAAAAGGAAATTTTTAAAAATCGAAACTGGTAAAAATAAAGAAAATAAAAACCGAAACGAAAAAAGCAAATTAAAAATTGAAGAATCGAAAAAATTGAAAAGTCGAATAAATGAAAAAGTTTCAAAAACCATTAACTGAAAAACGGAAATATTCTAAAATTATAAAATTGAAAATGTTAAACACTTAAAAAAATATTATTATTGCATATTTAAAATCAAAACTTGAAAAATCATGAAACTGAAAAATCGAAAAATTGAAGACCAAAAAAATACAAAATCCATTGAAAAACCGAAAAACTGTAAAAATGAAAAAAATAAAAGGCCGAAACCAAAAATTGCAAATCCGACAACTGAAAACATAAAAAAATGAAAAATCGAAAAACTGAAAAATTTTAAAATGAAAACTCGAAGAATTGTATACCATAAAATAGAAGATACAAAAAAATCGAAAACTCGTTAATCGAAAAATTGAAGAAACGAAGACCTGAAAAAAATTAAAATTGAAAAAACAAAAAAATTAAAAAATGGCAACACTGAAAAATCGAAACATTGTAAAAATTAACAAAATGAAAAACCGACACAAACAAAAGCAAATCGAAAATTTCAAGAACTGAAAATTGAAAAGTCGTATAAATGAAAAAGTTTCAAAAACCAATAACTCAAAAACGGAAAAATTCTAAAATCATAAAATTGAAATTGTGAAATATCTAAAAAAGTATCATTATTGCATATTTTAAATCAAAACTGTTAAAATTGCAAATCAAAAATTGAAAAATCACAAAACTGAAAAATTGAAAAAATGAAGACCAAAAAATTACAAAATCCAAAAACTGAAAAATTTTACCTTTAAAAATAAAAACAGAACATTGCAACTAAAAAAATGAAAAAATAAAGAAAATAAAAACCGAAACGAAAAATTGCAAATCCAACAACTGAAAACATGAAAAATTGAAAAATTTTACAATGAAAACTCGAAGAATTGCATATCATAAAACCGAAGAAGTGAAAAAAATTAAAATTGAAAAAACAAAAAATGTAAAAATCGTAACAATAAAGAAAATAAAAAACCGAAACAGAAAAAAGCAATGATCGAAAGCTTGAAGAATCGGAAAACTGAAAAGTCGAATAAATGAAAAAGTTTCAAAAACCAATACTTCATTGAAAAACGGAAAAATTTTAAATTGTAAAATTGAAACTGTGAAATATTTTAAAAAATATTGCATATATTTAAAATCAATACTATTAAAATTGCAAATCAAAAAGCTGAAAAATTTCACAATGAAGAATAAAAACAGAACGTTGAAAAACCGAAAAAATGAAAAACTAACATGAAAACTGGAGGAATTGCGTATGATAAAATCGAAAAAACAAAAAATTAAAAAGTGGAAACACTGAAAAATCAAAAGTTCTTAAAAATAAAGCAAGTAAAAATCCGATACGAAAAAAGCAAATAGAAAATTTGAACAAGTGAAAATTGAAAAATCTAAAAATTCTAAAATCATAACATTAAAAATATGCAATACATATTTAAAATCAAAACTATAAAAATTGCAAATCAAAAATTACAAAATCCAAAACCTGAAAAATTTTACAATGAAAAATAAAAAACCGAAATGAAAAATTGAAAAATCGAAAAACTGAAAAATTTTAAAATGAAAACTGGAAGAATTGCATATCACAAAATTGAAGAAATAAAAAAAAATTAACAAATTGGAAAATCGCAATTAGAAAAATTGAAGAAACGGAGAACTGAAAAAAATTAAAATTGTAAAAATAAAGAAAATAAAAACCGGAGCGAAAAAAAGCACGTTGAAAATTTGAAGAATTGAAAAATTGAAAAGGCGAATAAATGAAAAGTTTGGAAAACCAATAATTGAAAAACGGAAAAATTCTAAAACCATAAAATTGAAAATGTGACATTTAAAAAACATTATTATTGCATATTTAAAAACAAAACTATTAAAATTGCAAATCGTGAAACTCAAAAATCGAAAAATTGAAGACCAAAAAATTACAAAATCCAAAAACTGAAAAATTTCAAATTGGAAAATAAAAACAGAACATTGAAAAACCGAAAAAATGAAAAAATAAAGAAAATAAAACCGAAACGAAAAATTGCAAATCCAACAACTGATAAAATTGGAGAAACAAAAAAATTGAAAAATGGGAACATTGGAAAATCGAAAAATCAAAGAAAATAAAAAACCGAAACCAAAACAAATCAAAATTTTAAAATTGAAAAATTCGAAGGTTGGAACAAAAAAAATGAAAAATTGATCTAAGCTTTGATGAAAAAAATTCAAGAAATGTTCGGACCACAGTTTACTTATGAAATTCCGATGCGACGTTGCCACGTTATTCCAATTTTTTGACAACGGAAGGGTTCACAAAAAAAGAAACGCAATAGGATAATTTTCAAAATCTGTCTTACAATATTTTGTGGAAAGATAAATAAAGGTCCTGTTTTGTTGTGGTATCAACTAAATCAAACTTTACTATACAGAGTGTGTATAAAAGAAAACTACAATGAATTACAGTACCTTACTCTATTTTTGTGCTCTATTTGAAAAAATGTAACACAGATTTTAAAAATAACTGTAGCATATTTTTTATAAACCCTTCCATTGCAAACAAAATTCAAGAAAATTGGAGTAACGTGGCAACGTTGCATCCTAATTTTATTGGTCCTTGACTTTTTTCTATTTCTATTTTCTATTAATTGATGAGATATCGAGGAATACGTGCTTAATGACTCACCCTGTATGTATTATGACTGAACGACTGACTAACTAAATATCCGCCACTATCTTAGAGAAGTACTAAGTCTTCCATCCCCTATTTTACCTCTTTAGGGGTAGTTTTATTCACTTCCACTTCACTCGTAAAACCGCGAGTCTACGCCTTTCAAAATATAAAGCTGTTTTTATTCAACTTCACATACATACACTATAGTAAATAAAAAAGAAACTATAATAACGTGTTATAAAAAGAGTTAACATACCACTAAAAATATGCTTTTTACACCATACGTTCTATAACTCCTACAGAACAAATCCTTTAATATCAGATCTTAAAAAACACGACAACTCTGAACATAACGCAATTTGATATAATTATCTGGCAGTCTTAGTAGAAAACTTGTTGTAAAGCCGAAAATATACACCACACCAGTGTCTAGTGTTCACTGTCCGCCGAACTCGCAGTACTTTTCGCCACCGTGTTCACTTTTTGATTAACACTCGTCAGTTGCGTGTTCGTCTGGCCAGACGGCGCTGTCACTGTCACTATGTTACCACACTTAATCTTTTCTATCACTGACGTACTGGCTAGGATTTTGCCGTTGACGGCGATGGGGCCGCTGCCCAACAGTTCGAAATTCCCGGGGGTGGACTCCACCAGGGTAATGTGGCTGCCGGTCGTGGGCTAGAAAAAATAACGCTAGATCACGTGGGAAGTGTACCGAGTGTTTCGAGACTAACCTTGAACGGGGCGGTCGTCCTCTTCAGGTACACCTTTTGCGGCTTGGCGAAGAGGGTCTGCAAAGGGAATTTTTAGTGTGTTGGGGGGCGGTTTTTGGTGGTTTTACCCCGAATTTTGGTGCTGCGGTTGGTGTGAGGACGAGCTGCTGGCCTGCGGGTCGGACCGGCGAACTCGTCGACTGGTTCTGGCCAGACGTTTGCGTGCATTTACTCATGTGTTTGGGCCAGTGTTTCTGTTGGCACGGGTAGTCGCAGTAGCTGGTGTTCCAGCAGCAGTAGAACTGGGCTTCTTTTGAGCAATTCGCACACCTGGAATGTCAAATTTTAATGTTTAAAATTAATATTTTTGCTTGGTTCGGCGAATACGCATCAGACGTCACAGCTGAAATTATCATACTATACACAGTGTTTCTTTTATTTGATACAACCCTTGTAATTTTTTTATTCTTAAAACTAAACCTGTAGTTCTTTGAGCAAATTTGTATAATTTTAAAAGATCTATGTGACAGCAACCTCACGTTTTTATTATCTTCTGCATTATACCGGGTGTCCTAGTTTCCTGTTCCATATTAAAATCTCTTTTATTTATTGAAGACAAAAGTTTGAAATTTATAAGGGTTCATTACACAAAAATCTGTAAAATAAATATACTACTACTATGTCGCCACTGTTTTCTTGGAAATGACATCAACTTTCGAGCAACGTATGTTTTCTAAGTGCGTTAAGTATAACTTTTTTTTTTATTTAAAAATTTTAACTATTAAAGCTGCAGTTCTTGAAATTCCCTTACAGACTAAAAAATAATAATAATAAAAATTTAATGACAATGGTTTTGAAAATTTGGTAGACAGATTTTTCGAAAATCAAAAATTGACTAGAGATCTTGAAAATTTTCACAATCTCTTTTAATAATTTCCAAAAACAGAAGTTTACAAACTGAAGTAAAAATTTTAAACAACTCAAGAATGTTTTTCTTTCTTTTCAATATAAAGGATTTTTGTGTGTCATACCGGGTGTCCTATTTTCCTGTTCCACTTTAATACCTCTTTTATTAACTTTTATTAATTGAAGTCAGAAGCTTAAAGTTTAGAACGGTTCATTACACAAAAATCTGTAGTACTAGCACTATGTCGCCAATGATTTTTTTTTTCGGAAATGACATCAACTTTTTCTTTGCAAATAGAGTAATGTATGTTTTTTACGTGTGTTAAATATAACATTTTTGTATTTCAAAGTTCTAACTATTTAAGCTGCAGTTTTTGACATTCACTCAAATTAAATTTTTTTAATTTACATAAAAATAAACTGTGCCTTTACGAATACTCAAAATGTCTAGATTTTGAGATCTTTCAGAAGTTTAGTACTGATTTTTTTTTTTTATTTATTTAAAAATTTTAACTATGGAAGCTAGTTTTTGAAGTTGTTTCAGAAACTAAAAAAGCGAAAATTTTAATAAAAATATATGTTGATAAAATTACAATACATATTTTGAAAACGTGGTAGACCTATTGGATTTTCTGAAAACCGAAAATTACCTATAAATTTTGAAAATTTTTACGATTTCTTTGAATAATTTTCAAAATCAGAAATTCACAAGATGAAACAAAAAATCCAAGAACTTTTTCCCATCTTTTTAATATACATTATATCGGGTGTACCCAATTTCCTAATCGATAACATATTTTTTTTTGTTTTCAGAAATGACATCCATTTTTTATTTTCAAATTGAATAATTTATGTTTTTAGGTATACTAAATATTTTTTTATTAAAAAGGCGAGAAAATTTACATAAAAAAAAAATGTGTCTGCGAAAACACAAAATACGACTTCATTCAAAAATTTTTTAAGATTTTTTTTAATTTAAAAATTTTAACCAATAAAGCTACAATTCTAGAAATTCACTTACGAGACTAAATAAACTCAAAACTTTAATAACAAAGCATATCATTAAAATTACAAAATTTTGAAAAGGTGGTAGATAATAGATTTTTAGAAATATTCAATTCAAATATTGCTGAATAAATGCAAAATATGATAAAGCTATACTTGTAATTTATCACTGCATTAATATTTTTTAGATTTGCTTATACAGGGCGACTCAGTATATTAATGAAAGAGTCAATTTATTTTATTGATTAAATCAGGAACGGCTCACTCCGTTTTCCCGAAAATTTGGGAGTACAATACTGTTATCATTAGTATTACACTGCACCTATCCAAAGTGATATATATGTCTTTGAAAAAATGTTCTGTCGAAATAACTTTCGACCAATTTTTTTATTTAAAAATTTAAACTAAAACTAACTCTTGAAAGTCGCTTAGAGATTTAAATAATAATAATATCAATGTGTACATATAATTAAAATGATAAAATTTTGGAAAGCTGGTAGGTAGTCATTTTTCGAAAATCAAAAATTACCTAAAAATTTTACAAATTCTCTGGCAATCTTTTTTAATAATTTTAAAACGGGAAATTCCAAGTTGAAATGAAAATTGTAAGCATATTTTGAAAACAAACACAAAAAACCAAGTCGATTTTATCCCTTACTTTTAAGGCACAGGAGTTTTCTGCATTATACCGGGTGTTCGAGTCACCTGTTCCCTTTTCTCTTTTATTAATTAAAAAGATTAAAAAAGTGATAATTTTAATAAAAATGCACATTGTTAAAATTACAATACATATTTTGAAAACGTGGTAGACCTATTAGATTTTCCGAAAATTGAAAATTACCTATAAATTTTGAAAATTTTAACGATTTCCTTTGATAATTATCAAAATCAAAAATTTACAAACTGAAATGAAAACATTAAAATTTTAAACATATTTTTAAAACAAACACACAAAATCAAGAACTTTTTTTTTCATATTATTCGCATTATACCGAGTGTCTGAGTTTCCTGTTCCACTTTAATATTTCTTTTATTGACTGAAAAGACGAAAATTTAAAATTTAGAACGTTTCATTACACAAAAATCTGTAACATAAAAATACTACTAGCACTAAATGGCCATATATTTTTTTTCTGAAATAACATCCACTTTTTATTTTCAAATAGAATAACTTATATTTTTTAAATGTTTTAAATATATTTTTTTTATTGAAATGTTGAGAAAATTTAGATGAAAATAAACTGTGTTTACGAATACACAAAATACGACTTTAAGCTAAAAAAAATTAAGATTATTTTTTTTTAATTTAAAAATTTTAAACAATAAAGCTACAGTTTTTGATTTAAGAGACTTATAAAAGAAGTCAAAACTTTAATAACAAATCATATCATTAAAATTACAAAATTTTGAAAAGCTGATAGATATTTTAGATTATTAGAAAATCAAAAACTACCTGAAAATTTTGAAAATTCTCACAATATTTTTATTAATTTTTAAAACCAGAGAAATTCACAAGATGAAATTAAATATATTTCTAAAACAAACACACAAAGAATCAAGATGAACATTTTTTTCTTATGGTTTGTATACAGGAATTTTCTGTATTATACTGAGTGTTGCCGTTTCGTGTTCCATTTAATATTTCTTTTTTGAAAAGAGACAAGTTTGAAATTTAGGACGCTTTTTCAATAGAATAACTTGTTTTTTTTTAAGTGCGTTAAATAAACATTTATTTTCATATTTTTACTTAAAAATTCTAATTATATACAAAATTTTGAAAAGCTGGTAGTCATTCTTTATTTTCGAAAATCAAAAACAACCTACAAATTTTGAAATTTCTTTGGCAATCTTTTTTAACAATTATTAAAAACAGGAAAATTTACAAAATGTAATATTTTTAAAATAAATACGAAAAATTAAGATGGTTTTATTCCTTATTTTTAATGTACAGGAATTTTCTGCATTATACCGGGTGTCCCAGTTACCTGTTCCATTTTAATAACTATTTTATTAATTAAAAAGATACACGTTTGTAATTAAACGTCTCATTACACAAAAAATAAAGATAAAAGTATTATTAGTATGTGTACCAAGTGGTCATTGGTTTTCTTGGACATGACATCCACTTTTTCTTTTCAAATAGAGTAACTTGTTTTCTTTTAAGTGCGTAAATAAACTTTTTTTACTTTCATATTTTTATTTAAAAATTGTAACTATTGAAGCCACGTTCTTGAAATTCACTTAGAAATTAAAAATTTTGAATTCAAGAAAATTTACATAGAAGTAAACTGTGCCTTTGCGAATAGTAAAAACGTCTAGATTTTAACTTTTTTTCAACTATTTAAGATTGCTTTTTTTATTAAAAAATTTAAACTCCTAAAACTAATTATTGAAATTCACTTAGAGTTTAAAAAAATAATAACATCAATCTATACAAATAAAATGATAAAATTGTGAAAATCTAGTAGTCATTCTTGATTTTTCAAAAATCAAAAACTACCTAGAAATTTTGCAAATTCTCTGGAAATCTTTTTTAATAATTTTCAAATCAGGAAAAATTACAAGTTGAAATGAAAATTGTAAGCATATTTTGAAAACAAACACAAAAAATCAAGACGATCTTATCCCTTATTTTAAAGGTACAGGAATTTTCTGCATTATACCGGGTGTCCCAGTTACCTGTTCCATTTTAATAACTCTTTTATTAATTGAAACGACAAAAGTTTGAATTCATTACACAAAAATCTATAAGATAAAAATACTACTCGCACTAAGTAGCCATTCGTTTTTTAGGAAATGACATCCACTTTTTCTTTTCAAATAGAATAAACAACTTTTTTTGTTTAAAAAAATCATCTATTATAGACACAGTTCTCGAAATTCACTTGAATTTAAAAATTTTGAAGTCGCGAAAATTTACACAAAAATAAACGGCCTTTGCGAATACTCAACATGTCTAGATTTAAAGATTTTTCAAAATCTTAATATTGATTTTTTTTTTAATTCAAATATTTTAACTACTAAAGCAGCGGTTCTTCAATTTACTTAGAGATTAAAAAACATATATATAAAATTTTGAAAAGCTACTAGATATTTCGGATTTTGTGAAAATCAAAAACCACCTTGAAATTTTGAAAATTCTGACAACTCATTTAATAATTTTCGAAAATAGAAAAACCACCCAAAAATCAAGACGAACTTTTTTTTCTTATTTTTAATACACAGGATTTTTTTGCAGTATACCGAGTGACCCAGTTTTCTGTTCCACGTTAATATCTCCCTTATTAATTGAAAAGACATAAGTTTGAAATTTAGAACGCTTCATTATACAAAAATCAATAAGATAAAAATACTACTAGCACTAAGTGGCCATTGATTTTTTCGGAAATGACATCCACTTTTTTTTTTATTTAAAAATTTTAACACAAAAAAAAGCTTTAGCGAATACTCAAAATACAGATGTAGATTTTAACATGCTTCAATTCCTTAAGATTCCTTTTTTATTATTATGTATTTTTTTTATTTAAAAATTATACCTACTAAAGCTACAGTTCTTGAAATTCCCTTACATACTAAAAAATATAATAATACATACTAATAAAAATTTAATAACATTAAAATGATAAGATTCTGAAAAGCTGATCGACCGATTTGTCAAAAATCAAAAACTACCTAGAAATTTTGAAAATTTCAATGATATTTTTTAATAATTTTCAAAAACAGATTTATAAAATGAAATGGAAATTTTAAACATATTTTAAAACAAACATCAAAAGACAAAAGTTTGAAATTTAGAAAGCTTCATGATACAAAAATCTACAAGATAAAAATACTTCTAGCACTAACTGACCACTGTTTATTTCGGAAATGACATCTATTTTTTTCTTTTCACATAAAATAATTTCCGTTTTTTAAGTGCGTTACGTGTCTCAGTTTTCTGTTCCACTTTAAGATTTTTTTATTAATTGCAACAAAAAGTTTGAAATTTAAATCGCTTCAATACACAAAAACACGATTAGCACAAAGTAGACATGATTTTTTTCGGAGATGACATCCACTTTTTTTTTCAAATTGAATAATTTATAATAATTTTTAATTATTAGTGGGTTAAATATAACATTTTTTTATTTAAGGATTTTAACTACATATATATGTTGTGTAAAAATCCCACGTACTTGTGTTGAAGTGCAAATTTTTCAGAAATTGTGTCAGTGTATAATATAAAATAATAATAATCAGCTTTAAACTTTTGTTTCGAATCACATATTGATTCGTTACCTTCTTATTTCTTTATTTTTCTTAGTCGAATTTCTTTTTCCTTTTCCTTTTAAATTTTAAAATGATCTTCAACGTCAGGAGTACATTCCAAAATTATTGAATAATACGTTGACTTTTTTTATTATAATATCTCTTGTTCTTTGTGCCAAAAGATTCTTGAAAGAAAACTATACATACTAGAAAAAAAACATAGACAGATTAAACCCCACCCACCCGCCCCGATTTCAGTTGTGATGAATTTTTCATTCGGAATCAAACCGAGGGGTGGAGTACAATTGCCAAATATATATTCTTTATAAAATTTTACCCTCTTGAAAACATATTGCACAGGGTATTTTTTACACAGAAATGACGATTTTGCAACTAAGCTCCGCCCCTCGGCTCACAATGAATAAAAAATTCATCACAATTGAGAGAGGGTGGGTGGGCGGGGCTTATATTTTGTCCATTTTTTTCTTAATATACAAAATTTTCTTTTCCCAACAAGAAACTGAAAACATGTTTAACTATCGTGTTCTTTAAAGAAAACTATATGTTTTGAGTAGAAAAGAAAGCCAAAGATTAAAGTTACAATTATTGAAATTCACTCACACATTTTTCCATATTTTTAATATACAGGAATTTTCTGCATTATACCGGGTGTCCGAGTTTCCAGTTCGATTTTAAGATCTCTTTTATTAAATGACAGAAGTTTGAAATTTAGGACACTTCATTACACAAAAATCTATAAAACAAAAATTCTACTAGTACAAAGTGGCCATTGGTTTTTTCGGAGATGACATCCACTTTTTTCAAAAAATCGAGACGAACATTTCTCTACCTTATTTTTAACATACAGGAATTTTCTGTGTTATGCCGGGTGTCCCAGCTTCTTGTTCCACTGTAATATTTCTTATTCGAAATTTAGAACGCTTCATTACACAAAAATCTGTAAGTACTACTAAGAGTAAGTGGTCATTGGTTTTCTAGGAAATGACATCCGCTTTTTCTTTTCAAAAAGAATATTTTTTTAAGTGCGTTAAACATTCCATTTTTTTTTTATTTAATTTCACTCAGAAATTAAAATGTTTGAACTCAAAAAAAAGTGTATATAAAAATACACGGTGCCTTTGCCAATACTTAAAATGTCTCGATTTTAAATTTTTTCAAAATCTTAAGATTGATTTATTTTTTTTAATTTAAAAATTTTAATTACTACAAGTGTAGTTCAAAATTTACTTAGCGACTAATCAAGTAAAATTACAAAATTTTGAAAAGCTGATAGACATTCTAGATTTTTTGAAAATCAAAAACTACACACAGAAAATTCGAAAATTTTCAGAATCTCCTTTAATTATTTTGAAAAACAGAAATTTACAAAATGAAATGAAATTTTTAAACATATTTTTAAAACAAACACAAAAAAAGGCTTTTTCTGCATTATACCGGGTGTCCCAGTTTCCCGTTCCACTTTAAGATCTCTTTTATTAAATGACAGTTTGAAATTTAGAACAATTCATTATACAAATATCTATAAAACAAAAATTCTACTAGTACAAAGTGGCCACTGGTTCATTCGGAAATGACATCCACTTTTTCTTTTCGAATACAACAACTTATGTTTTTTTAAGTGCATTAAATATGACTTTTTTTTATCTAAAAATTTTAATCATCAGTTAGTTTTTGAAATTTATTTAAGAATAAAAAAAAATGCTTGTGTGGTACAGAAAAATAGCACTTTTGTGAAATGTTACGTCACTAAAAAGAAAAAAAAAAGCTTTTTCTACGTCAAAAATAGTATTTTTCAAAAAAAATGAAATACTTCAGTGGAATAACGAAATTGGAATGCTGTGAATGAAAATTTTTGAAGCATTTCATCAAATAAATTAAATTAATTGTTATATATTGATTAAATAAGAAAAGAAGATGTTTTATTATTATTTTCTATGGTGCGAAGTGTGTTTGCTTCGATTCCTAGTAACCTAATCTCAAACCCCCCACTTACCACTGTTTCGATTTCGCCTCCTCCACCTTCTTCATCATTTCCATCTCACAATTCGCCTTCGTTTCATTAATAATCCTCTCCCTCTCCTCCACCACACTCTTCTGTGTATCCTTCAAAACAATCGAAACGTTCCTCCTAATCTCCGCCAACTCTATACTATGCTTATGATTTAACTCCTCAATCTCGTACTTTAAGCCACTTATCGTCGCCTCCGGATTATTACTCTTCCCCAAATCACTAATAGTCTCCACCAACAAACTCCGAAAGTAATCACCAAGCTAAAAAAAACAAATGACGCTCTCCCCACAAAAAAAAAATCCAACTCACTTTTTGAGCCATCGAGTTAATCCTCGACGCAACAGGACCAGCCGTGCTCGGCACCCCCGCCTCCACCACGCTGTTCAAGATCCCCACCGGCTTCGGCTTCAGCTTCGGCGGCGGCTGACACAGAATATCGCCCACGCCTTTGGCCACGTTCTCGGGCAGAATCTCCTTCAGAGAGCCCAACTCCGACTCGAAAGAACTCGTCTGACTGTCCACGTCGATCACGGGCGGCTGCGTCGTCCCACTGGTCAACAGATTGTTCAACAAAATCCCCCCACTCCCGCTCGCCGCTCTCTCCTCGTCCTCGTTCTGGGGGATGTAGTTCTGCGAGCCCTCCAGCACCTTCTTCGCCGCCGCCACGGCGGCGGCGTTCTGGTCTTGCACACGCGGCAACATCGTCAGCACCGGAGGACTGCTCAAATCGCGGTTCATCGGCTTGGTGTAGTGGAGCTTGGGTAAAATCATCACGTTGGCAGAGGGCTGCAGCGTTGCCGCGTTGACTATGGTCAGCTCGTCGTCCATCGTCGTCTTCGGGATGATCTTCCGAGCGACGATCGTCTTTTTGCCGTAGTTGGGGGTGGGGAAGGACTTTCGGGCCTTGTGTTTCGGGGTTTGCATCTTCGACAGCGACTTGATGTAGATCTCTTTGACTTCGGCTGATTTCGTAACGTCTTTCGACGCCTCTTCGGCAGGCTTCGGCGTCGTCTCCTCCTTCCTGCTTTTCTTCTCTTCGGTTTTCGACCTCGTGCGGATTTCGTGCGCTTTCGGCTTACTCGGGACTTTCTGTTTCTCGGATATGTTCAAGGCCGACAAGTACTGACGCTTCGCTTCCATGTACTGGACGTCGTCGTCGTCGTCGGACTCCACTTCGCTCTTGATTTTCACCGGGGGTTCCTTCGTCGCGCTGTTTTCGGCTTCGGGTTTCTTCGTTTTGTTGCGCATTTCTTTGCCGTCTTTCATCACGCGGATTTCTTTCAACACGATGAGTTGGTCGGGTTTGCTCGGGGAACTCTCGGACAGGTTTTTTTTCTGCAGGATGTTTTCGATGGGTACGAGTTTCACCATCTTGTTCGGGGGGAAGAGAGAGTCGTCGTCGGTCTCTTTCTTTTTGCTCGTGTCGTCTCGGCTGTCTTCGTGTTTGCGCTTTTTGCTCTCCTTCTCTTTCGGTTTTTCTTTGTCTTTTTCGCCGTCTTTGACAGACTGCGCTTCAACGTTCATGATCGTTTCGCATAGTTCTAGGACCGGCGCTTGCGCGTCGTCGCTCTTCTCCTCTTCCTCTATCACAGTAGGTTCGACAAGTTCCTTCTCCTTCCCTTTGTCTTCTTCGTCTTCTTTCTCAGTCACTTTCGTCTCGATGTCGCTCTTAACTTCCCCCTCATCCTTCTTACTTTCGTCGTTTTCCTTCTTGTCGTCTTCGTTCACTTCGGTGTCACCTTTCTCTTCACTCTTTTCTTCCACGCTCTCTTTTTCTTCGCTTTTTTCGCGCTCAGCGTCTGCCACCACCTCTTCGACTTTCTTTTCCGGTTCGCCGTCGACCTCTTCTTTTCCTTCCTCCGGTTCTTCGTCGTTCATATCTTCCAGTTTTTTTATGAGCTGATCGCTGATTCGTAGTTTGGGTGGTGATGAGATTTTCGATTTTTCTTCCTCGTGTTGAGTACAAAGTTTTTCGGGGGTTTCGTTGAGTTTGATGTGGTTGTCCACTGATAATCGGGGCGCGTCGGGTTTGGTCGGGTCTCGTCGTGCCATTTTTATAGAGTTCTCGGGTATGCTGTCCGAAGAGTATCGTTTTCTGATGAGTATGGCTTTTATGGGTTTTTGGACCAACCTGGGTTTATCTGGAAATGATTTAGTTTCAACATGGATTTCGTTAAAGTAGATCTATAAATATATACAAAGTGTTGTAACACGAAGTCTAAAAATAACCCTACTGTGATTTTTTTCTGTAAACTCTTCCATTACCAAAAAATTTCAAGAAAATTGGGAAAACGTGGCAACGTCGCTTCCTAATTTAATAAATAAACTGTGATTGTAAAGCCTAAGAGGGCGTCAAAATAAAAATATATAGAGATATGTAGTGTGTTTTATTAAAAAAACCTAAGTTGTGTGTTACGCCTTAAAAACAAAACACTTTGTAAAGTTGAAAATCATGTTAAAATATACTTCTCAAATCACCGTACAACTTTCGTGTTTGACTTTTTTCTATTTAATAATTAATGCTATATCGAGGAACGCGTGCTCACCCTGTATATACGAATTTTTGTTCAATGCAAAACTGTAGCTTGTCTAAGTACCAATAAAGTTATTATTATTATTATTGAAGTAATTTAAGAAAATTTCGGAGAACCTTTGTGTTGTTTTTAAAGTAGTTTGGAAGAATCTTGGGGTCCCTTGCGTCTGACTTTTGAAGTGGTCTGAAAGAATCTCGGGGACCCCTTTGGGTCTTGTTTTTGAAGTAAGAATCGCTGGAAACTCTTGTAGTTTGTTTTTGAAGTAGTTTGAAACAATTTCGGGATCCCTTGTCTTGTTTTAGGAATAATTTTAAAGAATCCCGGAAGCCCCGTCTAGTTTTTTAAGTGGTTTAAAAGAATCTCTCATTTATGTCTGGTTTTTCAAGTAGCTTGAAATAATTTCGGGGATATTTGTGTTTGTTTTTGAACTATCTAGTTTGAAAGAATTTGAGATCCTTTGTCTTGTTTTTGAAGTAAATTGTGAAATTTTTCAATATTTGGATTTCTGAATTTTTCAATTTGCAATTTTTCGGTTTTTCAACGTTTCGATTCTTTTTTTTCTCATATTTTTCTAATTTTCATTTCGAACGCGTAATAATAATAATAATCACAGTTTTTAAAATAACTAACTTACGATTTCAGACTTTCAATTTTTCAACTTTTTGATTCTTCAATTTCTCATTTCTTCAAATTTACATTTTGCAATTTTTCGCTCCGGTTTTTTATTTTCTTTATTTTTACAATTTTTCAACGGCCCAATTTTCTATCCTTTTTTAATATCAATTTTCCGTTTCTTCAATTATTCAATTTGCAATTTTTCATTTTTAAAGTTTTCAGTTCTTCGATTTTCCAACTTTTGGAGTTAAATTAGATTTTGCAATTTCAGGAGTTTTCAATTTCTAATTTTGTATTTCTTCAATTTGCAATTTTTTGTTTGTTTTTTGTAATTTTTAAAACATTTCACTTTTCCAATTTTAAGATTTTAAAAATTTCGTTTATTCGATTTTTAATTTTTCTATTCTTAATTTCAAAATTTCTTGACATTTAAATTTTCAATTTTTTGATTTTCCAATGTTACAGTTTTTCGACTTTACAATTTTGACAATTGTATAATTTTTCGATTTTACAATTTTTGGGTTTTAAGTTTTTCAATTGAATTCTTCTTTCTTTCTTTTCAATTTTTTGGTTTTATAAATTTCTCGATTTTTAGTTTTTCAATGTTTCAGTTTTTCGTTTCTTGGAGTAATTTTAAAGAATCCCGGGGGCCCCCTCTGTTTTTTAAGTAGTTTAAAAGAATCTCGGGGAATATTTGAAGATTTGAACTACCTAGTTTGAAGGAATCTTGGAGATTCTTGAAGTAATTTGAAAGATCCCTCGACTTGTTTTTGAAGTAGTTTGAAAGAATTTCGAGGACTCCCTGTGGGTCTTGTTTTTGAAGTAGTTTGATAGAATCTTGGAGATTCTTTGCCTTGTTTTTTGAACAAATCGTAAAAATTTTCAATTTATAATTTTTGGGTTTTTCAACTTTTAGATTTTCTTTTTCTCAATTTTTTTAGTTTTCATTTCAAAAGCGCAATAATAATAACAATAGTTTTTAAAACATCGAACTTATGATTTCAGACTTTCAATTTTTCAATCATCGGAATTTAAACTTTTTCATTTATTCGACTTTCCAATTTTTCTATTTTAAATTTTTCAATTTTTTGATTCTTCAATTTTTCATTTCTTCAAATTTTCATTTTCCAATTTTCGCTCCGGTTTTTTGTTTTCTTTATTTTTACAATTTTTCAACGTTTCTATTTTCTATTCTTTTTTTTATATCAATTTTCTCAATTTTCCGTTTCTTCAATTATTCGATTTGCAATTTTTCATTTTTAAAGTTTTCAGTTTTCCGATTTTCCATCCTTCGGAGTTTTCAATTTTACATTTCTTCGATTTGCAATTTTTTGTTTCTGTTTTTTATAATTTTTAAAACTATTCACTTTTCCAATTTTAGGACTTTGGAATTTTTCCATTTTTCAATTACTGGATTTTATAAATTTCGTTTATTCGATTTTTACTTTTTCTATTCTTAATCTCAAAATTTCTTGACATTTATAAATTTTCAATTTTTTGATCTTCCAATGTAACAGTTTTTCGACTTTACAATTTTGACAACTGTATAATTTTTCGATTTTACAATTTTTGGGTTTTTAAATTTTTTCAATTGGATTCGCCTTTCTTTCTTTTCAATTTTTTGGTTTTATAAATTTCTCGATTTTCAGTTTTTCGTTTCTTGGAGTAATTTTAAAGAATCCCGCCCCCCCCCCCTCTGGTTTTTTAAGTACTTCAAAAGAATCAAAGAATCTCGGGAACCCTCCGTGGTTTTTGTTTTTAAAGTAATTTGAAAGTATCACGGCGCCCCCTTGTGTCTGCTTTTTGAAGTTGTTTGAAAGAATCTCGGGGATTCTTTGTGCCTGGTTTTTGAAGTAGTTTGAAAGAATCTCAGGGACCCCCTTTGTCTGTTTTTTAAGTACTTTAAAAGAATCTCAAGGACTTCCCGTGGGTCTTGTTTTTGAAGTAATTTGAAAGAATCTCAGGGATTCTTTGCATCTGGGTTTTGAAGTAGTTTGAAAGAATCTAGGGGACCCCCTTTGTCTGTTTTTTGAAGTAGTTTAAAATAATCTCGAGGACCCCCTGTGGGTCTTGTTTTTAAAGTAACTAGAAAGAATCTCTAGAAACTCTTGTAGTTTATCTTTGAAGTAGCTTGAAAGAGTCTCTGGGATCCCTTGTCTTGTTTTTGAAGTAATTTGAAAGAATCTCAGGGATTCCTTGCTTGTTTTTGAAGTAATTTGAAAGGATCTCGGGGCCCCTTGTGTCTGGTTTTTGAAGTGCTTAGAAATAATCTCTAGGACCCCCAGTTTTTGAAGTAGTTTGAAAGAAGCTCGAGGACCACCTGTAGGTCTTGTTTTTGAAGTAGTTTAAAAGAATTTCAAGAAACTCCTGTGTTTTGTTTTTGAAGTAGTTTGAAAGAATCTTGGGGACCTTCAGTGAGTTTTGAGGTCATTTGAAAAAATCTCTGGAAAATCTTGTTGTTTGTTTTTTAAGTAGTTCGAAAGAATCTAGGGGAACCCCTTTGTCAGTTTTTTGAAGTATGTAGTTTAAAATAATCTCGAGGACCCACTGTAGGTTTTTGTACGCTGCTCTAGTTGTGCAATAAACTTATTCTTATTCTTATTTTTAGGTCTTGTTTTTAAAGTAACTTGAAATAATCTCTAGAAATTCCTGCAGTTTATCTTTGAAGCAGTTTGAAAGAATCTCTGGGATCCCTTATCTTGTTTTTGAAGTAATTGAAAGAATCTCAGGAATCCTTTGTATCTGGGTTTTGAAGTAGTTTGAAAGAATCTTGGGGACCCCCTGTGCGTTTTGTTTTTGAGCTAATTTGAAACAATCTCTCGAAAATCTTGATGTTGGTTTTTGAAGTAGTTTGAAAGAATCTCAAGGACCCCCTTTGTCTGGTTTTTTAAGTAGTTTAAAAGAATCTCAAGAACTTCCCGTGGGTCTTGTTTTTGAAGTAATTTGAAAGAATCTCAGGGATCCTTTGTATCTGGGTTTTGAAGTAGTTTGAAAGAATCTAGGGAACCCCTTTGTCTGTTTTTTGAAGTACATAGTTTAAAATAATCTCGGGGATCCCCTGTGGGTCTTGTTTTTAAAGTAACTTGAAAAATTCTCTAGAAACTCTTGTAGTTTATCTTTGAAGCAACTTGAAAGAATCTCTGAAATCCCTTGTCTTATTTTTGAAGTAATTGGAAAGAATCTCTGGGATCCTTTGCTTGTTCTTGAAGTAATTTGAAAATATCTCGGGGCCCCTTGTGTCTGGTTTTTGAAGTAGTTTGAATGAATCTCAGGGTCCCTTGTGTTATGTTTTTGAAGTAGTTTGAAAGGATCTTGGGGATCTCTTGTGTCTGCTTTTTTAAATAGTTTAAAAGAATCTCAAGGACTTCCCGTGGGTCTTGTTTTTGAAGTAATTTGAAAGAATCTCAAGAATCCTTTGTATCTGGGTTTTGATGTAGTTTGAAAGAATCTCTGGAAAATCTTGTTGTTAGTTTTTGAAGTAGTTTGAAAGAATCTAGGGACCCCCTTTGTCTGTTATTTGAAGTAGTTTAAAATAATCTCGAGGACCCACTGTGGGTCTTGTTTATAAAGTAACTTGAAAAACTCTGTACAAACTCTTGTAGTTTGGAGCCCTTGCTTGTTCAATTAATTTGAAAGGATCTCAGGGCCCCTTGTGTCTGGTTTTTGAAGTGGTTAGAAATAATCTCTAGGACCCCCAGTTTTTGAAGTAGTTTGAAGGAATCTCTGGAATCCCTTGGATTATGTTTGAACTAGTTTGAAAGAATCTTTGGAACCTCCTGTAGTTTGTTTTTGTTTACTCGAGGATCCTTTGTCTTGTTTTTTAAGCAATTTAAAAGAATCTCGGGGACCATTTCTGTCTGGTATTTGAAGTTGTTTGAAGGAATCTCGGGGTCCCCTTGCGTTTGTTTTTTAATTAGTTTGAAAGAATCTCTGGAATCTCTTGTCCTGTTTTTAAAGTACATAATTTGAAAGAATCTCGGGGTTCTCTTATCCTGTTTTTGAAGTAATTTTGAAAGAATCTCGGAGATCTTTTGCCATGTTTATTAAGTAATTTGAAAGAATCTCCGAATCCCTTGTGCCTGGTTTTTGAAGTACTTTGAAAGAATCTCTGGGATTCCTTTGTTGTTTTTGCCTCTTATTTTTGAAGTAGTTTGAAAGAATCTCTGGGATTCCTTTGTTGTTTTTGCCTCTTATTTTTGAAGTAGTTTGAAATAATCTCTGGGATTCCTTTGTTGTGTTTGTCTCTTGTTTTTGAAGTAGTTTGAAAGAATCTCTGGGATTCCTTTGCTGTTTTGCCTCTTGTTTTTTAAGTAGTTTGAAAGAATCTCTGAGATTCCTTGTCTTGTTTTTGAAGTAGTTTAAAAGAATCTCGGGGACCCCCGGTGGGTCTTGTTTCTGAAGTTGTTTTGCAGGAATCTCTGGGATTCCTTTGTTGTGTTTGCCTCTTGTTTTTGAAGTAGTTTGAAAGAATCTCTGGGATTCCTTTGTTGTATTTGCCTCTTGTTTTTGAAGTAGTTTGAAAGAATCTCTGTTATTCCTTGTCTTGTTTTTGTAGTTGTTTAAAAGAATCTCGGGGACTCCCGGTGGGTCTTGTTTCTGAAATTGTTTTGCAAGAATCTCTGGGATTCCTTTGTTGTTTTTGCCTCTTGTTTTTGAAGTAGTTTGAAAGAATCTCTGGGATTCCTTTGTTGTTTTTGCCTCTTGTTTCTGAAGTAGTTTAGCAAGAATCTTTGGGACTCCTTTGTTGTTTTTGCCTCTTGTTTTTGAAGTAGTTTGAAAAAATCTCTGGGATTCCTTTGTTGTTTTTGCCTCTTGTTTTTTATGTAATTAGAAAGAATCTCTGGGATCCCTTGTGTCTGATTTTTTAAGTAGTTTAAAAGAATTTCTGGGACCCCCCGTGGGTCTTGTTTCTGAAGTTCATATTATATTTATTATCTCTTGTCTTGTTTTTTATGTAATATGACAGAATCGCTGCGATCCCTTGTGCCCTGTTTTTGAAGTAGTTTGAAAGAATCTCTGGGATCCCTGTTCTTGTTTTTGAAGTAGTTTAAAAGAATCTCGGGGACCCCCCGTGGGTCTTGTTTCTGAAGTAGTTTGAAAGAATCTCTGCGATCCCTTGTCTTGTTTTTGAAGTAGTTTAAAAGAATCTCGGGGACCCCCTGTGGGTCTTGTTTCTGAAGTAGTTTGAAAGAATCTCTGGGATCGCTTGTTTTGGTTTTTGAAGTAGTTTGAAAGAATCTCGGGGATCCCTTGTCTTGTTTTTGAAGTAGGTTAAAAGAATCTCGGGGATCCCTTGTTTTGTTTTTGAAGTAGTTTAAAAGAATCTCTGGGATCTCTTGTCTTATTTTTGAAGTAGTTTTAAAAAATCTCGAGGACCCCCTGTGGGTCTTGTTTCTGAAGTAGTTTGAAAGAATTTCGGGGATCCCTTGCCCTGTTTTTTATGTAATATGAAAGAATCTCTGCGATCCCTTATGCTTGGTTTTTGAAGTAGTTTGAAAGAATCTCGAGGATCCCTTCTCTGGTTTTTGAAGTATTTTAAAAGAATCTCGGGGACTCCTTGTGGGTGCTGTTTCTGAAGTAGTTTGGAAGAATCTCGAGGAGTCCCCGTGGATAGTTTTGAAATAGTTTGCAAGAATTGTTTGTTTTAATTTTGGAGTAATTGAAAGAATCTCAGGGACCCCTTGTCTTGTTTTTGAAGTAATTTGATTATGCCTTGTTTGTGAAGTAAAGTAGGATAAAGTCAGGTAGAGGTAAAATAATTTGAGAATAGCACACCCATAATAGCCATATACAAACGACGATAAGGCCATACTAGTTCACTTTCAAAAATAAGAGGTCGTCTGGGATTCATTCACAAATGTCAGTTGTTTACAGTTTTTAGTTATCGACTTTAAACGTGCTATTCTCAAACTATTTCACCTCTAGTATCTATATATTGATGGTAGAGTACAGCTGTCTCTAACATCCTCAAGTCTTAAAAGAAAATTTTCAATCAAAAAAACCCTACTATCCCCTACACTCTCTACATACCTGCAGGACTATCGCGATAATCGATCCTCGTCATCCCCTCCTTGTGCTTATCCCCATTCGACTTCTCCTCCCCCTTCCTCTTCCCCCTATCGTCCTCATCCTCGCCGTCCTCCTCCTCCTCATCGCTACTCTCTTCACTGCTCTCCCCCTCCGACTCGTCCCCGCTCTTCCCCTTATCGCTCCTCGCCTCCTTCATCTTCCACACAATCTCCTTCCCGTCGTTCCTGTAATTCGGCAAGAACACCTGCAGCTGCCTCAGCTGGCTGTCCGCCTCCAGCAGCGTCTTGAACGGCGCGAAGTTCACCCTCCCGTAGATCTCCCTCAGGTTGTCGACGTACAGCTCCAGCTCCTTGACGCACTCGATGATGTCGTTGCGCTTCTGCTTGCCGGAGTTGGGGTCCTTGACCGAGTACAGGTAGCAGTCTTTCACGCTGACCCAGGCCTTGTCGTGGGCGCCGAAGAAGCGCACGTCGGCCATCCCCGACGAGTTTATGGACATCACCTTGGCCGGCCAGTAGGGGAAGCCTTTGAGTTTGGCCCAGACGAGGAGGTGGGGCTTGGGGCAGACCTCGACGAACCAGGTGTGTTTCTTGGTGTTGGCGTTGAGGTAGCACGAGGGGCAGTTCTCGACCTCGGCCATTTCTTGTTTGCAGATTTTTACGATGGTTTTGGCGGCGGTGGTGAGCTTGGACTGATCTGGAAAGGCTGGAATTTAGATTATATGTGTGGTCTTACAACGAGTTTGGATGCACTAAAATAGAACTTAAGACTAGGTTATTACACTATATGTAGATAAAGAAGATACTTATTTTAAGATGTATACTTATAAACCGGGTGTCTCAAGTTAAGTCGTACTGTTACTCTATAAAGAAAACGACATTGAAAACATGTCATTTCCGGCGAAAGTGGAAGTACTTGTATTGTATAATTACTCTCTTATCCTGATAGTACTTTTGAAGTAATTTTGACTCAATTAATCAGAGTTTAAAAATTAATTACAACTACCTGGACGCCACAACAAAAAACAAGTAAACGATGCCAGTTGGATCAATTTATTAATGATTTAGAACATAACCACATACAAAAAAATTGGTTAAAGGTTATTTCGACAGAACTTCCCTCGCCTATGAAGTACAGCCCAACAAATTTTTGCAATATAAAAATTGTTTGCAATTTTTTTCATATTATAATATTATAATTTTTACACAATAAAAACCAAAGGCGTAAATAACACATTCTCGTAGCTTTTTTACTTGAATTTTTCAGTTCTTCAACTTTTCAATTTTTTGAGTTTTCGAATTTAAAATTTTCAGTTTTTGAATTTTCCCACTTTTGATTTTTTATTTTCTTTATTTTTTCAATTTTAATTTTTTCAGATTTTCGTTTCTTCGATTTGCGATTTTTCTATTCTTCATTTTTTTGGTTCTTCGATTTTTCGATTTTGCAATTTTTGGATTTAAAACTCCTGGGTTTTCAATTTTTCATTTCTTTAAATTTTCGATTTACGATTTATCGTTTTGTTTTTTCGGTTTCAATTTTTTCAAATTTTTGTAAACTTTTTGATTTTTAAATTTTCATTTTCTCAATCTTAGAGTTTTCAATTTTTCCTTTTCATTTTAAGTATTTAATAAGAATAATAATTTTTAAAATATTTCACTTTTTCAATTTTACGATTTTAGAATTTTTTCATTTTTCAGTTATTGGAATTTAAAAGTTTGTCATTTATTCGACTTTTCAATTTTTATTAATTCTTCAATTTTTCGATTCTTCTTCAATATTTCATTTCTTCAAATTTTCGATTTGCAATTTACCGTATTCAGTTTTTTGTTTTCTTTATTTTTACAATTTCAATTTCTTCGATTTTTCGTTTCTCAATTTTCTTTTTCTTGTTTTTCAATACGTTAATTTCCCAATTTTTGGATTTTTCCATTTTGATGATTTTTCAATTTTTCGATTTCATTTTAAATATGTAATGTATAATCATTTTTAAAATATTTACATTTGTCAATTTTACTTGTGAATTTTTTCGTTTCGGTTTTTTATTTCCTTATTTTAACAAATTTTCGATTTTTTAATATTCCGATTTTATAATTTCTTTTGATTTGCAGCTTTTCGTTTCGTTTTTGTATTTTCTTCATTTTTTCGGTTGGCCAATATTCTGATTTTATCATTTTTGTTTTCAATGTGAAATTTTTCAATTTTTGAATTTTTAAATTTTTCAATTTGCAATTTTTCGATTTTCAATTTTTGATTTTTGAACTTTTTAAATACGTAATAATAATAACAACAATTTTTAAAATATTTGACTTACGATTTCAGACTTTCCTTTTCTCAATCATTGGACTTTAAAACTTTTTCCTTTTTCATTGATTCGACTTTCAATTTTTCCATTTTTAATTTTTCAATTTTTCATTTCCTCAAATTTTCGTTGCGGCTTTTTATTTTATTTATTTTTACTATTTTTCAATGTTCCAATTTAATTTTTTTTTTCAATTTTCCGTTTTGTGAATTATTTTATTTGCAATTTTTCATTTTTAAAGTTTTCAATTTTTCGATTTTCCAACTTATGAATACTTACGATTTGCAATTTTTTGTCTCTGTTTTTATCATTTTTAAGATTTTTCACTTTTCCAATTTTACGATTTTAGAATTTTTCCACTTTTCAATTATTGTATTTTAAAACTGTTATTTATTCGATTTTTAATTTTTCAACTTCCAGATACTTAACTTTTGTATTTTTTGATCATCCTCTCTTTCTGGGTTTTCAAATTTTTCGATTGAATTCGGCTTTTCTTCTTTCCTATTTTTCGATTTTTAAATTTCTCGATTTTTATTTTTCAATGTTTCACTTTTTCGTTTCTTCACTTCTTCGATAAACAATTTTTCGATTTTTAATTTTTCGTTTCGATATTTTTTTTTACAATTCTTCGATTTTGCAATGTTCTGATGTGAAATTTTTCAATTTTTGAATTTTTCAACTTTTAGATTTTTTTATTTTTCGTTTCTTCAATTTTTGAGTTTCAGTTTTTTATTTTCTTAATTTTTTCAATTTTAATTTTTTCAGATTTTCGTTTCTTCAATTTTTCTATTTGCGATTTTTCTATTCTTCATTTTTTTGTTTCTTCGATTTTTAGATTTTGCAATTTTTGGATTTAAAACTCCTGGGTTTTCAATTTTTCATTTCTTTAAATTTTCGATTTACGATTTATCGTTTTGTTTTTTCGGTTTCAATTTTTTCAAATTTTTGTAAACATTTTGATTTTTAAATTTTCATTTTCTCAATGTTAGAGTTTTCAATTTTTCCTTTTCATTTTAAGTATGTAATAAGAATAATAATTTTTAAAATATTTCACTTTTTCAATTTTACGATTTTAGAATTTTTTCATTTTTCAATTATTGGAATTTAAAATTTTGTCATTTATTCGACTTTTCAATTTTTATTAATTCTTCAATTTTTCGATTCTTCAATATTTCATTTCTTCAAATTTTCCATTTGCAATTTATCGTATTCAGTCTTTTTGCTTTCTTTATTTTTACAATTTCAATTTCTTCAATTTTTCGTTTCTCAATTTTCTTTTTCTTGTTTTTCAATATGTTAATTTCCTAATTTTTGGATTTTTCAATGTTCTGATTGAAATTTTAGATTTTTCAATTCCTTGATTTTTCAATTTTTCGATTTCGTTTTAAATATGTAAAAAATAATCTTTTTTAAAATATTCAATTTTGTCAATTTTACTTGTGATTTTTTTTTTAATTGAGTTTTAAAACTTTTTCATTTGAAATTTTTCGTTTCGATTTTTTATTTCCTTATTTCTACAAATGTTCGATTTTATAATTATTTTTTCAATATAACTTTCTCAATTTTTCGATTTGCAGTTTTTCAATTTTTCATATTTTTTTGTTTCAATTATTGTATTTTAAAACTGTTATTTATTCGATTTCAAATTTCTCAATTTCCCGATACTTAACTTTTGAATTTTTTAATCTTCCTTTCTTTTTGGCTTTTCAAATTTTTCGATTGAATTCGTCTTTTCTTCTTTCCAATTTTTCGTTTTGATATTTTTTCTTTTTTTACAATTCTTCGATTTTTCAATTTTCTGATTTTATAATGTTTATCTTCAATGTGAAATTTTTCAATTTTTGATTTTTCAACTTTCAGATTTTTTTATTTTTCGTTTCTTCAATTTTTGAGTTTCAGTTTTTCCAGTTTTCATTTTAAATACGTAATAATAACAATAATAATTTTTAAAATATTTGACTTAGATTTCAGACTTTCCCCTTTGCAATCACTGGACGTGAAATTTTTTTCATTTATTCGACTTTCCAATTTTTCGATTTTTAATTTTTCAATTTTTTGAATCTCCAATTTTTTATTTCTTAAAATTTTCGTTTTGCAATTTTTCGTCGAGGTTTCTTATTTTCTTTATTTTTACGATTTTTCTATGTTCCAATTTTTTTTTTTCTCAATTTCAATTTTTTCAATTTTCCGTTTCTTCAATTATTCGGTTTACAGTTTTTCATTTCTTACAAGTTTTCAGTTTTTAACTTATGGAATTTCAATTTTTACAACTTCAGTTTCGTTTCTGCTTGTTATAATTTTTTACTTTTCACTTTTCCGATTTTAGAATTTTTTCATATTTCAATTATTGGATTTTAAAATTTTATTTATTCGATTTTTAATTTTTCTATTTTTAATTTCTCAATTTCCCGATATTTAACTTTTGAATTTTTTGATCTTTCAATGTTATCGTTTTTCGACTTCACAGTTTTGACAATTGTATAATTTTTCGATTTTACAATTTTTGGGTTTTCCAATTTTTCAGTTTTTAAATTTCTGGATTTCTAGTTTTTCAATGTTTCAATTTTTCATTTCGGTTTTTTATTTTCTTTATTTTTCAAAAATTTTCTATTTTCAATGTTCCGATTTTATAAAATCTTGTTTTTTCAATATTATTTTTCCAATTTTTCAATTCTTGAAATTTTCGCTTTGCAATTTTTCGTTTCGGTTTTTGTTTCCTTCATTTTTTGGGTTTTCAATGTTTCGATTTGCAACTTTTTGTTTCGTATTTTATTTTCTTCAAGTTTTCAATTTTTCGATTTGTCAATGTTCCGATTTTATAATTTTCATTTATGTGAAATTTTTAAATTTTTAATTTGCAATTTTTCGGTTTTCAATTTTTCCATTTTTCAAGTTTGAAATTTTTAAATTTGTTTTTTTCATTTAAAATTTTTCTTTTTCTCGATTTTTCGTTTCTTGAATTTTTAAGTTGCAATCTTCCTAGTTTTCATTTTAAGTACGTAATAGTAATCACAATAATTTTTAACATATTTGACTTACGATTTCAGACTTTCCTTTTTTCAATCATTGGACTTTAAAACTTTTTCATTGATTCGACTTTCGATTTTTCCATTTTTAACTTTTCAATTTTTCATTTCCTCAATTTTTCGTTGCGGCTTTTTATTTTCTTTATTTTTACTGTTTTTCAATGTTCCAATTAAGTTTTTTTTTTCAATTTTCCGTTTTGTGAATTATTTGATTTACAATTTTTCGTTTTGAAAGTTTTCAATTTTTATAATTTGCAATTTTAGGACTTTTCAATTTTTCATTTCTTCAATTTTTCGATTTGCAATTTTTTGTCTCTGTTTTTATATTTTTTTTTTCCATTTTTCCAATTTTACGATTTTAGAATTTTTCCACTTTTGAATTATTGTATTTTAAAACTTTTATTTTTAATTTCTCAATTTCCCGATATTTAACTTTTGAATTTTTTGATATTTTCAAATTTTTCAATTGAATTAGTATTTTCTTCTTTCCAATTTTCCGATTTTTAAATTTCTCGATTTTTATTTTTCAATATTTCAGTTTTTCGTTTCTTCAGTTCTTCGATAAACACTTTCGATTTTTAATTTTTCGTTTCGATATTTTTTCCTTTTTACAATTCTTCGATTTTTCAATGTTCTAATATTTTTTTTATTTTCAATGTGAAAATATTTGATTACAGACTTTCCCTTTTTCAATCATTGAACTGTTTCATTTATTCGACTTTCTAATTTTTGGATTTTTAATTTTTCAATTTTTGATTGTTTAATTTTTCATTTCTTCTAATTTTCGTTTTGCAATTTTTCGTTGCGGTTTTTTTTTTCTTTACTTTTACGATTTTTCAATGTTCCATTTTTATAATTTTTTTTTCAATTCAAAGTTTCTCAATTTTCCGTTTCGTCAATTTACAATTTTTCATTTTTAAAGTTTTCAGTTTTTCGATTTCCCAATTTATGGAGTTTCAATTTCTAGGGTTTTCACTTTTTTGATTTGCATTTTCGGGAGTTTTCAATTTTTCTAATTGCAATTTTTGTTTCCGTTTTTTATCATTTTTAATACCTTTCACTTTTCCAATTTTACGATTTTAGAATTTTTCCATTTTTCAATTATTGGAATTGAAACTTTTATTTATTCGATTTTAAATTTTCCTACTTATAATTTTTCAATTACTGGATATTTAACTTTTGAATTTTTTTATCTTTCAATGTTACAGTTTTTGGGTGTTTAAATTTTTCGATTGGATTCGTCTTTCCTTCTTTTCAGTTTTTCGATTTTCCACTTTTTTGATTTGTAATTTTTCGTTTCGATATTTTTTCTTTTTTTACAATTCTTCGATTTTTCAATATTCTGATTTTATAATTTTCGTATTCAATGTGAAATTTTTCAATTTTTGGATACGTTTAAATACAAAATAATATTAATAATATTTTTTAAAATCTTTTCACCTATAATTTCAATCACTGGAATTTAAAACTTTTTCATTAATTCGACTTGCCAATTTTTCGATTTTTAATTTTAATTTTCCACTTCTTCAAATTTTCGTTCTGCAATTTTTCATTGTGGTTTTTATTCCAATTTTCAATTTTTTTTTTAAATATCAATTTTCTCAATTTTCGGTTTCTTCAATTATTCGATTTGCAATTTTTCATTTTTAAAGTTCCCAGTTTTTCAATTTTCTATCTATAGAGTTTTCACTTTTCCAATTCTACTAATTTTTCTATTTTCTAATTACTGGATTTTAAAACTTTAATTTATTCGATTTTTGATTTCCCAATTTCTCGATTTTTTTCTTTCAATGTTACAGTTTTTCGACTTTACAATTTTCGGGTTTTCCAATGGTTCGATTTGATTCGTTTTTTCTTATTTCCAGTTTTCGATTTTTAAATTTCTGGATTTTTAGTTTTTCAATGGTTCAATTTTTCCTTTCTTCAGTTCTTTGATTTACAGTTTTTCGATTTTCCACTTTTGCAATTCTACAATTTTTCGTTTTCTTCAGTTCTACGATTTTTCAATTTTTTCCGATTTTTTAGTTTTTCAATTTTTCGACTTTTCGAATCAAAAAACGGAAAAATTGTAAAATTTCAAAAACAATAATGAAAACGAAAAAGTATATAATGAAAAGTTTCAAAAATCTAAAAATTGGAAATCGAGACTTGAAAAATTGAAGAAACGAAAAATTAAAAAATCGAAAAAAACATTGAAAAAATGAAGAAAATGAAAAATTGTGACAAAATGGAGAAAATGAAAATTAATTTGCTTGAGTAAATAACCAAATACATTTTCCACAGAGAAATTATCTACGCGATATACTAAATAATGCTCAGCAACGAAATTAAAACTTTCCCAAACCCGCCTGTGCACTGACCCAACTGGCACGCCCCCATCAATAAATCCAAAATCGATACTAACAGGAGTTAAAAATGATACTGTTATGCAGAATCCACTTCGCGTCCGCCTCGAACGCCTGCGTGCTCCCGTACGCATTATCCTTGATATTTTTCTCCAACATCGTCAACGTCATCGGCTGAACTATATAACTCCTGTACTCGGGAAACTGCTTCTCGTCGACGGGATGAATAAACGGCTCCGACTGCAAACACAACGCCACCATTAACCCAGAAAATCGCTCTCAACCCTCACGCATACCCCGTTACACTGGATCATCCTCTTCACGGCGAACTTGAGCAAACTGCACAGGTGCTCCAGAGACATCCCCCGCATCGCTTTCGACCTGAAACCCAGATTCCGTTCCAGAAAACGAATTCAAGTCATTGAAAAATATATATGTATATACGGACATACCGCGTTTGCGTGTTCTCGGCCTTGAGGATCGAGACGCACTCGGGGCACGGCCAGTGCTCGGCGTCCATGATGGTCTGCTTGAGGCAGCGCACGTGGTAGGCCCGGGGGCAGGTCTCGCAGGCCACCTGGACCGAGTCGTGGTGGCAGCGCCAGCAGAAGATGTCCTTGTTCGGCTGCAACGACAGGAAAATAAAATAGGTGTCCACATACACTAACTGACACATTTTAAATATTTAAAACTGATTATAGTATTCTATAATTGTATTCCTTATTTTTAGTAAGCGCCATTTAAATTTTATAAAATAACGTACCCCTACACTTGTGGTTTATGAATTTGCCTTGATGTCTATTTTTTATTAATGATCAAGGAAACATTGTTTTATTGTTTAACATAAAACTGCCTTACTATAGATAGGGGTGCCTGGGACCATCTGGAAATCGGGACTCCGAGATTCTTTCAAAGAAGTCACAGAGATTCTTCCAAATAACTTCAAAAATCAAATAATTTTTTAGACAAAATATCGCAAAACTGTAAAATTGAAAAATCAAAAACTTGAAAAACTGACATCGAAATTTTGAAAAATTAAAAAATAGAAGAATTTTAAAAACGAAGAATTATAAAATTCAAAATTTAAAAATTCATTCATTAAAAACCGAACAATTGAGAAAATCGCAAAAATTGTAAAAATATAAACTCAAAAATCCAAAAATTGTAAAACCACAAACTTATAAAATTGGATATTTGTAAAAACGAAAAAAATCATTAAACTGTAAATCTGTAAATTTAAAAATTGAATTATTAAAAAATTAAAAATTGGAAAATCGAATCGATGAAATTCTGATATTTGAAAAATCGAAAATTGAATAATGGAAAAAACGAAAAAATTAAGAAACAAAGAATTATAAAATTTAAAATTGAAAAATTGTTTAATTAAAATTTGCAAAAATCGAAAAATACATTTAAAAACGAAAAATTCCAGAAAAAATAAACTGAAAACCCAAAAACTTTAAAAACTGAGTTTGAAATTTTGAACAATTGAAAATCAAAACATTGAAAAATTGTAAAATTACAAAATTGAAAAATTATTAAATTAAAAAATCTTATAATTGAAAAATTAAACATCAAACATTGGTTTTATTTAGAGTCCCTAAATTATAAGTATTTGAAAAAGAAATTTCTGCACTTGTGGTGTATGAATCCGTGTTGACTTTTCTCCCTAGACATCGAAATTTTTGGAAAAAAAATCAAAATTGTATAATTATTTAACTTTGAAATGGCCTAACCGAATGCTCTGAAATCTTACAAACGCTAAAAAAAATAACATTCGCAAAGTCAAATCTTATAGTTTTTCGAAAAATCTGAATTTATTTACCTTCAACCAAATTTTTCATGTCAATATTCAATGTTTCGTTTCATAATTTTTTGTTTTTCAATTTTTCGATTTGCAATTTTTCGATATTACAATTTTTCATTTTTCGATCTTTCGGTTTCTCGTTTCCTCAATTTTTCAACTCCTTGATTTTTATTTTACATTTTCTGAATTTTTTTATTCTCATTTTCTCGATTTTGTATCCGATATTTTTTCAATGTTTCTTTCGATATTTATTATAATTTTTCGGTTATACGATTTTTCAAATTTTGAATCTCTGATTTTTCAGTCGCTCGATTTTCCAATTTCGCATTTTTTAGTTTTCCAGTTGTCCGATTTTCCAATTTCTTTAAATTTTCAATATTTCGATATTGCAAACTTTTTCATTTTTGAATTTGGTTTCCAATTTTTAGGTTTTTGTTTTCATTTTATACGTTATCGTTTTTTCATTTTTGATTTTTCGGTTTTACAATTTTACAATTACTTCAGAAACAAGACCCACAGGGAGATTTCAAACTACTTGAATAACAAGGAAGGAATCCCCGAGATTTGTTCAAATTACTTCAAAAACCGCACACAAGGTGACCCCGAGATTCTTTCCAACTACTTCAAAAACAAGACAAGGATTCCTCGAGATTCTTTCAAATTACTTCAAAAATAAAACACGACGGGTCTCGGAGATTCTTTCAAATTACTTCAAAAACAAAATAAGGGATCCCCAGATTCTTTTAAACTACTTCAAAAATAAAAACATGGGGTCCCCGAGATTCTTTCAAACTACTTCAGAAACAAAACAGGAAGAGTCCCCGAGATTCTTTCAATTTACTTCAAAAACAAGGCAAAGGATCTTCAAGATTCTTTCAAACTACTTCAAAAACAAACCACGAGGAGTCACAGACATTCTTTCAAATAACTTCAATAATCAAATAATTATTTAATCAAAATATCGCAAAACTGTAAAATTGAAAAATCAAAAACTTGAAAAACGATATCGAAATTTTGAAAATTTAAAAAATACAAGAATTTTAAAAACAAAGAATTATAAAATTGAAAATTTAAAAATTCATTCATTAAAAACCGGACAATTGGGAAAATCGGAAAATTGTAAAAATATAAACTCAAAAATCCAAAAATTGTAAAACTACAAACATAAAATTGGATATTTGTAAAAACGAAAAAAATCATTAAACTGTAAATCTGTAAATTTAAAAATTGAATTATTAAAAAATTAAAAATTGGAAAATCGAATCGATGAAATTCGGATATTTGAAAAATCGAAAATTGAATAATGGAAAAAACGAAAAAATTAAGAAACGAAGAATTATCAAATTGAAAATTGAGGACTTTTTTAATTAAAATTTGCAAAAATCGAAAAATACATTTAAAAACGAAAAATCTAGAAAAAATAAACTGAAAACCCAAAAACTTGAAAAACTGAATTTGAAATTTTGAACAACCGAAAATCAAAACATTGAAAAATTGTAAAATTACAAAATTGAAAAATTATTAAATTAAAAAATCTTACAATTGAAAAATGAAAAATCAAAACATTGGTTTTATTTAGAGTCCCTAAATTATGTGTATTTGAAAAAGAAAATCCTGCACTTGTGGTGCATGAATCCGTGTTGACTTTTCACCCTAGACATCCAAATTTTTGGAAAAAAAAATCAAAATTGTATAATTATTTAACTTTGAAATTGCCAAACCGAATGCTCTGAAATCTTAAAAACGTTAAAAAAAAATAATATTCGCAAAGTCAAATCTTATAATTTTTCGAAAAATCTGAATTTATTTACCTTCAACCAAATTTTTCACGCCAATATTCAATGTTTCGTTTCATAATTTTTTGTTTCTCAATTTTTCGATTTGCAGTTTTTCGATATTACAATTTCTCATTTTTCGATCTTTCGGTTTCTCGTTTCCTCAATTTTTCAACTCCTTGATTTTTATTTTACATTTTCTGAATTTTTTTATTCTCATTTTGTCGATTTTATATCCGATATTTTTTCAATGTTTCTTTCGATATTTATTATATTTTTTCGGTTATACGATTTTTCAAATTTTTAATCTCTGATTTTTCAGTCGCTCGATTTTCCAATTTCGCATTTTTTAGATTTCCAGTTGTCCGATTTTCCAATTTCTTTAAATTTTCAATATTTCGATATTACAAACTTTTTCATTTTTGAATTTGATTTCCAATTTTTAGGTTTTAGTTTTCATTTTATACGTTTTCGTTCTTTCAGTTTTGATTTTTCGGTTTTACAATTTTACAATTACTTCAGAAACAAGACCCACAGGGAGATTTCAAACTACTTGAATAACAAGCAAGGAATCCCCGAGATTTGTTCAAATTACTTCAAAAACAAGACACGGAATCCCTGAGATTCTTTCAGATTACTTTAAACAATATAGAGTGTCCGAAATTTTTTCAAATTACTTCAAAAACCGCACACAAGGTGACGCCGAGATTCTTTCCAACTACTTCAAAAACAAGACAAGGATTCCTCGAGATTCTTTCAAGCTACTTCAAAAATAAAACACGAGGGGTCTTGGAGATTCTTTCAAATTACTTCAAAAACAAAATAAGGGATCCCCAGATTCTTTTAAACTACTTCAAAAATAAAAACATGGGGTCCCCGAGATTCTTTCAAACTACTTCAAAAACAAACCACGAGGAGTCACAGACATTCTTTCAAATAACTTCAAAAATCAAATAATTTTTTAATCAAAATATCGCAAAACTGTAAAATTGAAAAATCAAAAACTTGAAAAACTGCCATCGAAATTTTGAAAAATTAAAAAATAGAAGAATTTTAAAAACGAAGAATTATAAAATTGAAAATTTAAAAATTCATTCATTAAAAATCGGACAAATGGGAAAATCGGAAAATTGTAAAAATATAACCTCAAAAATCCAAAAATTGTAAAACTACAAACTTATAAAATTGGATATTTGTAAAAACGAAAAAAATTATTAAACTGTAAATCTGTAAATTTAAAAATTGAAATATTGACAAATTAAAAATTGGAAAATCGAATTGATGAAATTCGGATATTTGAAAAATCGAAAATTGAATAATGGAAAAAACGAAAAAATTAAGAAACGAAGAATTATAAAATTGAAAATTGAGAAACTGTTTAATTAAAATTTGCAAAAATCGAAAAATACATTTAAAAACGAAAAATTCCAGAAAAAATAAACTGAAAACCCAAAAACTTGAAAAACTGAATTTGAAATTTTGAACAATTGAAAATCTAAACATTGAAAAATTGTAAAATTACAAAATTGAAAAATTATTAAATTAAAAAATCTTACAATTGAAAATGAAAAATCAAAACACTGGTTTTATTTAGAGTCCCTAAATTATGTGTATTTGAAAAAGAAAATCCTGCACTTGTGGTGCATGAATCCGTGTTGACTTTTCACCCTAGACATCCAAATTTTTGGAAAAAAAAATCAAAATTGTATAATTATTTAACTTTGAAATTGCCAAACCGAATGCTCTGAAATCTTACAAACGTTAAAAAAATAACATTCGCAAAGTCAAATCTTATAATTTTCGAAAAATCTGAATTTATTTACCCAAACCAAATTTTTCATGTCAATATTCAAAGTTTCCTTTCATAATTTTTTGTTTTTCAATTTTTCAATTGGCAGTTTTTCGATATTACAATTTTTCATTCTTCGATCTTTCGGTTTCTCGTTTCCTCAATTTTTCAACTCCTTGATTTTAATTTTTAATTTTCCTAATTTTTTTATTCTCATTTTCTCGATTTTGTATCCGATATTTTTTCAATGTTTC